CCCCCCCCCCCCCCGAGCGAGCGGCGGTAATTAATAGATGGCCAAAAGGGGCTCCCCAGACCTCCCCACACACACACATCGAGGCACCCATCCATGGTAAGGGCCTCGCTGGTCGGGCCCCTCTTTTCGGCGTTGGACGCCGCGGCCCGGGGAAAGCGTGCACCAGGGGACGGGGGCCAGGAGGGGGGGGGGGGGGGTCAAAGCAGGTTGACCCCGCCGAGGAGCGAGGTGTCCGCTGCGTGCCCCCTCCCCTCGCCGGGCCTTCGGGGCGCTTGCGGTCCGTGGAACACAAGACACGCCCTCCGTGGCGAGGGCCGCCCCTCGCCTCGGGGCCGCCCTGCCATGCGCCGAAATGCCCCCTTCTGAGGGACCACCCAGCCGGGTGTTCCACCGGGAAAGCTCCATACTATCTTCCCTCCAACACCCGCTCCACGCGCCTGGCCTCCCATTTTGTTCCCTCCCCCCCCCCCTCTCTCTCTCTCTCTCCCCCTTCTCCCCCTCCCCGTTTCGCCCCTTCACTCGAGGCCCCTTCACCCACAGCTCCTGGCGGACCATCCCCTCCGCCATCCCCTCTGGCCCGGGCTCGTGCCTCAATGTCTATTCTCCTTCGGCGCCGCCAGAAGGCCGCCCTCGCGGCGGAACTGGCGGCCGCATCCCCCTCCGGCACCGACCTCAAGTCGGACGAGTCTTCCGCCTCCGGCGGATCGAGCGCCGAGTCCTTCCAATCCCAGTCCTCCCTTAGCCTGCTTCCCAATGGGGGCGCCCCGGAGGGGACGACTCTTGCGGATGGCGCCCCGAGCCCGGACCACCCCCGGCCGGGCACCGGTGGCCCGATCCACGCCACCTCCCAACACCCTCCCCACCTGGCCGGGTCCCTGTCCCCGGATGGCCTGCTGTCGGCCTCGGTGTCCGGCTTGAGTCTTGCCGGCTCGCCCTCGGCCGGCCCCAGCAGCCTGGATCTGACCCTCGGTGGCCCGGGCAGCGGCTTGACCCTGGCCTCCGATCCGGACCCGGTGTACCCCCCGCCCGGGGGGGGTGTCGCGGCCCCCGGCGCCCCGGGGCCCGGGGCTTCCTTCTCCTCGCCCGGCATGGCATCGCAATCGCAACTGGGCCTGGATATGTCCCGGTCGGCCAGCAATTTGGACCTGGAGCTGGGCCGGCTGGCGCCGGCTGGCGGCCCGGCTGGCGGCCCATCCGGATCCCTGGCCCCGGTCGGCGGCCACTCCCGATCCACCAGCGGCGGGGTGGTCCTCGATGACGATGGCACCCTTCGGGCCGGCGAGCTGACCCTCAGCCGGTCGGGCCTGCATCTTGCCTCCTCCTCCAGCATGGCCCTGTCATCCGGGCTGCAGGGCCCTGCCGGGCCGCCGCCTAGCGGCATCCCGCCCGGCGCCGCGGCCGCCCTGGCCCCCGGCTCCAGTGCCTTCGCCACCCCGGCCGCCTACATCTCATCCCCCTTGAGCCAAGTCCCGCCGCATTCCTTTGCCGATCAGTCGTTGGCCTCGGGCGCATCGAGCTCCGTCTGCGCCAGCCACTCGGTGTCCACCTCATCCGGTGAGCTCCTCGGCCCGGGCTCCATGGTGCCACCCCCGGGTGGGGTCCCCTCGCCGGAGGACCTCGACGCCCTGGAGGATGATGGCGATGACGGGCCCTGGGTTCATGACCTTGGCCAGGATGGCCTGGTGCGCCTGGACCGCCTTTCGCCCGCTCGCGTGCTCTTTTTTATGCCCCCCCCCCCCCTCCCCCCTCTCCGCTCCCTGCCGCCCTCTTGTTCGGCTTTCTGACTGCCCCCCCCCCACCCACCCCCTGCTGCGTTGATGTGTCCCCTTCGGTGGCCATGCCGCGCATGTAGCCGCGTCGTGTGCCGACCGCGGCGCTGATTCGCGCAGCCGAAACCCCCCTGGCCGAATTGGGTCGCGGCGCGCAGGGCCGAGTCACGCGCGCCCTTGTCCGCGCGGTTTCCCTGCCCGTGGCCATCAAGATCATTCCCCTGGCGGCGCTTCTGCCCCAGGCTGACGGCTCGTCCGGAGGCCTCGGCCGGCCGGGTGGCAATGCGCCCGGGGCGCCGACCGCCGCCGAGAAGGAAGCCGAGAATCCCTCCCGCTTGCTGGGCGAACTTCGCACCCTGTACGACGCCTCCTCCATCGATTACTTCCATGGGTCCCATCTGGACTCGACTGGTGCCTGCCCCGGGGGAGGCCGGACATGCCTGGACTCGGCCAGCGCCACGCAATACCCGCCCCCCGGCCCGGGTGATGGCCGGGAGCAGATTGTTCGCTTCTGGGGCGCCTTCGTGGCAGATGGCCATGCACATGTGGCCCTGGAGCTGATGGATGGCGGTTCATTGGCCGACCTGTCCGCCCGGTGGGGGGGGCCCCTGCCGGAGCGGATCCTCCGGCGCATTACCCGCGAGGTGCGTTTCTCCCCCCCTCCCCCCCCCCTCCCCCTCCGCCTTCCCGTGCCTGTGTACCCCCCTCCCGGGTGGCCACGTCCCGCTTCGGCTTCTTCCCTCTGTGTCTCTCCTTGTTTTTTTTATCCATCCCTCTTTCCCCCTCGTTCCATCACTTACTGATATGCATTTGTCCTCCCCTCTAGACCCTCAAGGGGCTGGCATACCTGCACGCGCCGCCTCGTCGCCGGCTCCATCGGGATCTCAAGCCTTCGAATGTCCTGTGTGACGCGCGCGGTCGAGTGGCCTTGGCAGACTTTGGGGTTGTTAGCGGAGCTCTAGCGGCCAGTATGGCCAGTTGCGCCAGCTGGGTCGGAACGGTCACATACATGTCGGTATGTGTAGACACACACACATGCCCACACACACATGCCCACACCCACACACACCCACACAGACATCTCATGACCTTCCTTCTTACACTCGCGCCCCCTCTCGCCGCCTTCACATGGCCCCATCATCTCCTCCCGGCAGCCCGAGCGCATCCAGGGCCGGTCCTATTCCTTTGCGTCGGATATCTGGGCCTTGGGCCTGTCGATCTTGGAACTGGCCCTTGGGAGGTTCCCCTATGCGCCGGTCCCTCCGGCCGACCCGATGATGGAGGTGCCTGTCCCGGAACACATCCACGAGTCCCATGCCACCGAGTCGCTTGCCCCACTCCAGGGCCTTGATCCATCCAACCAGCAGAACCTCCTCCTTCTTCACCAGCAGCACCAGCTCCAGCAGCAGCAGACCCAGCGCCCGCAGGCTGCCATGCTGGAGCCACACCACATGGATCCGTATGCCGGTGACATGGGTGCCCCTGAGGATGCCAACTACTTCGACCCATACGCCGATGGGTTTGGCGGTGAGTTTGACGGCCACGGCGAGGAGTTTGCCTTTGACTATGGCTACGGCGAGAACCTCGGCGAGGGCATCATGGCCGACCCCTCCTCCTTCCGTGCGTCTCCCCCTTTTCTTTTCCCCTCCCTCCCCCTTGCCGGGGCATGGGCCCGATGTCGGGCTGGCCTGCTGTCATTTTAGGCCGGGCCCCCTTTGGCAACCTTCTGATCCCCCTCTTCTTTGTCCCCTTCGCGCACTCCCTGATCCACGGATGGTGTCCTCATCTTTGCCCCTGCCCCCTGCCCCCTGCCGCTGGTTTGCTCTTTGCATCGGTCTCGGGTGGGGGAAAACAAACACACAGTCTTCGCCTCGGCGCCCATGCCTCCGCCGGTCCCGGTGCAGCAGCCCGCACCGACCATCGTTGGACTGGGCTTCTGGGAGCTGCTGGACGCCATCGTGTATGACTCCATCCCCACCCTGCCGGAAACCCATTCGCATGTGTGCTTCCCGGCGCCCAATCCCCAAAGCTTGCTCCTGTCACCCTCCTACTCGCCTCAGGGCGACGATTCGGCCCCGGCACAGGACGGTGCTCTTCCCTCGGAGCATATCCGCATCCCATCTGGGCCCGGCACCGGGCCTCGATCGCATGTGGGCCTTTCACTGTCGGTGGACGACACGACCGCGCCTCTTGCCGATTGCCCGGATGACAGCCTGCCACATCGGCAGCTTCACCTTTCCCGCAGTGTCGGCAGCAGCAGTCGACTGCTCCTGAATCCCTCGGGATCCGACAGGGACCTCCTGCAGCAGTCGGCCTTTGCGATGTCAGCTCCCGGGGGCGGGCGCATCCCGTCCACCTTTTCCCCGGCTCGGCAGCCGCACCTCCCCCGGACCTACCGGGTGCCGGATCACCAGCAGCCCATGTTCCCCGTCCAACCGGACGCCTATCATCACCCATCGATTTCCCTGTCGCCCGTGTCGCCATCTGCATCTGGCGGCGGCCCGAGTGCCAGCAATGTGGTTGATCCTTCGAACTCGGCTCCGGCCATCTGGCTCAGCCCGTATGGCGAGGACTTGCGGGATTTCATCATGCTCTGCCTGCAGAAGGACCCGGCGCAGCGTCCCTCGGCGCTGCAGCTCCTGGTGCGTTCGCCCCTTCCCTCCCGGTCTTTGCCCCTGCTCCTGCCCTGTGGAATGCTCCGCTTGCCTTTTTTTTCTTCCCCCATCTCCTGACCCCGCTCGTCCTTTGTTCCCGCTGTGGGGAATCTTCCCTCCTCCAAAGAAACATCCCTTCGTCAATGGCCCGGAGGTGGCCACGGCCGAGGACATGGCCATCTTCGTTCGCGGCCTTGTCGACACTTCAGTCATGGTTCGTCCATCCGCCGGCATCGGCTGCTTTTTCCCCTCTCCCTGTTCCCACTCCCACAAAGGACCCCCCTCCAGCCCGCATGTGTGCCATGCATGCCCCGTGCCACTGTATCACTTCTGACACCCCCATCCACACGCACGCACACCCCCCCA